GCCGGCACAGCACGCTAGAAGGGCCTGGGCTGGGCCTCATGTTTGAGGCCCGCAGCCCAGGCACGCCCCAGGCACGCCCAAGGCCCAGGCACGACCCAAGCCCGCCAAGGCCCAGGGCCTAGGCACGCGACATGAAATTTTAATGAGGTTTGAGACATTTTAGGGCCAATTAGCCGACCTATGTCGTCTGGTCAACCAATCATTTTCTTATAATTATTCATATTAATTCAATAAAATTACATTTTTGGGGCATATGATATATTACTTTTTTTTTGTCATCAAATTTGAAATTAAAAAAAATCCTAAAAATATTACTAATCATAAGTGAAACTTAAGTGCATTAAGAAAATTAGGTTAAGATTGAGTTTAGACATAACAGAATCTTCTAGAAGCACTTAGGTTTTGTAATTTACTTATCCTAGAATATTGCACTCTTTTTTTCTTCGCTAAGATTTTGCCCCGATTTTCCCACGAGGTTTACTTGACAAGGTTTTTAACGAGTTGATCATTTATGTGTACTTATTTGTATTATCTCAATTTAATAAAATCACATCTTTTGGGGACATATGATATATTTTCTTTTTTTAATTAAATATTGAAAAAAAATTAAAAGGGCCTAGGCCGGCCCGTGAAGGGCCGGCCCTGGCCCTTATGGACTAGGGCCAAGGGCCAGTGCTGGGCCTGAGGGCTTCTCCTCAGGCCCGGCCCTGGCACGGCCCAAGCCCGCCATGGGCCTGGGGTTAGAAGGGCCGTGCCGGCCTAGCACGGCCCTTTTGACATCTCTAAAGCAGATAATATAAAGGAGAAAAGACAAGCAGACAAGGCAACACAACCGTGCCTGTACACGCGCACGTATATATGTATAAATTTATGTGTGCAATATGTATGCGTTTAAAGTCATCAAAGATCACATGATATTTACATCGTATCACTTCTTATTCCCATTACCGCCATTTCAATTAAACACATAGAAGACGATGAGCAGAATGCATAATTCTGTCAATGGATTACTACAAATTAAGGATGATACATTTATGTGGAACACCACAATTTTATATATATATATATATATGTCTGCTTGCTATAACTTGTTGGATTCAGGATTTGGGCCACTAATAAACTTCATGTGCTGCGGCTTCAAAGTGATGCATAACGGCACCACCATAGCCTTGTTTAGGCTGCAACCTATTGCAGGAAAAAGGTCTAATTATATTATCATAAAACATAAATCTTAGATCTGTTCTTCATGTTCTAAAACTTACCTGTAATCTTCTATCTGTGAGTAAACTATCAAAGGATTCTAATTGCCAAGTGACTTTTTCTGATTCTCATTGTGAATTTTAGGACCGTAGCTCGGGAAGGATGATTGACGGTGTTAAGATGATAGGCGGTCTCTACTATTTCTGTTGGAAAAAAGGCATCGAGTGTGCAGCAGAATTTTAAAATTTTTTAACCAATGCTAAAACCAACTAAGAACATGTTCATGATGCTATCTAACATAAATACTAAAGATCTAAATTATACCTTCAGAGAACAACACGTCTGACAGATCAAAGCGTTCCAAACAGCAACCAAAAGAGTCTCAACCAATTGGTCTTCTTTGCTATTCTCATTTTCACAATTAAAGTGCGAGTGGGCACACGTCATTCAATCTCTCCTTGGTATTATTAAACTCCTTCCAAGCACAAGAGAGCCAAAGGAAAAATCATTCTTGAGATTTAAACAATTTTTTCTTTCAGAAACCCTTACCAATAGCCCTAAAAAAAAAAAAAACTATCAAGTGATCTAATAAATAATGAGATTTATTGCGCTATTTATAGAGTTTGGGATGTCTCATTCCCACAACCATTAGGTTTTCTAAAGTCAAATTCGCGTACAGAGTCAGTTCAGCCACGTCAGCTAGTAGCTACAGGTCGACCGGTCACAGAGCCTATATAAACTTACCAGTCGACCAGTGTATGACACGGAACAACCCTAAAAGGTTACGTTTCGGTCGACCTCAGATGTCTTGAGACAATCACTGTTTGAAAGAGTAAATCTAAACCTAGATTGTTGCCCACCTTTCTTAGAATTATGCATTGGAAACTTCTCGAGAATTTTATCAATATATGAAGCTTGAGAGAGAGCTATCTATAGTATTACGTTTCGATACTTTACATGCAAGAATATTTTTAAATCGTTTAAATTAATCCCGCAACATTTAAAATGATGAATGGCAAGATTTAAATTATGTTTCAAAATAAGTTTCAAAAAAAAATACCTGAAATTTTAGTAACTAAGTATTTTACTTAGTTATTATGGAAAGAAGTTATTATTGTTTTCTATATTAAGTCACGATTAGTAACGGCTCGGGAAGCTGGGTCGTTACAACAAAAGGAAACCTTATCATAGTAACCAAAAATTAAGTACAACCACAATTCTCGGTGGGTTCGTGACTCATTCGGACGAGCCCACGCACTGGAGAGGCTTGCGAGCAGTCCGGACCATCAATCTGCTCGCAAGCCATCACGAAGCACGACTTCCACACGCGGTCCATATTTCGGACCTCTACGAAATCCAACTTGTTCTTCTTCCGGGCCACAAACATGTAACGGCCATCCTATTCGGACTTTTGCTTCACGTAATACAATGCTCAAAAGTCTTTGACAGTCAAATCCATTTCCAACCGAATGGCGGTGATCTACAGCAGGTTGTTCACTGAATTTGGCATTAGCTACCCAATCATCATCCCAAAGTGAGATAACACCTCAGAAGCCAATCGTGGCAACGATAATTTAATCGATCATCAGGAAAATCTCGTACAAGGCAAACCAACCTTCCCTCAATCGTCAGCCTTCTCATCCTCGTCCAAATCCCGAAGTTCTATCTCCTTTGGAATACCATACTCCTTCCACCACGACTTCACATCCTCCACCATGATAACAGACGCGGTGTCATCGCCTAAACAGCCCCAGCCAATGTAAATCCCCTCATCGTCCTTCGTCAGCTCCTCACCACAGGCCGCTTGTGGAACAACAACGCGAGTCGCGCCCGAGGAGTTTGACGATCCAACCGGGATCATGGTAGCTAAAGATGACGACCCAAAGTTAATAAGAAATTCAACCATTCTCAAGGTAAGTTCATGTCCTTTGGTTTTTTTCTCACAATTTTGTGTTTCTTTGGCCCTAGGAACAATCAAACACCAACAACAACAACGAAAACCCACTCAAAAGAAGGTCGACCTAAAGTTCAAGAATCGGAAAACTCAACCAAAAATTTAGGTTATTCTCTCCCTAAAATGCGTAATCAAGGCATCATAGTCACAAGGAAGAGAAAATAGAGGTCAGAAAACGGGGGCTTACCTCGGACAGCATTCGGAATAGCGAATGAAACTAAGGATACATGTGAACCGACGAACACCAGAAACAGGACGACAACGGCGGGAAAAGCGGGCAACGGGCAGGGGCGTGACGATTGTCAGCGGCAAGAGCAAGTCGGTGAAGTGGGGGAAGATTTCGGGTGAGAGGAGAGTTTTTAAAGAGGGGCGAGAACCTTTTCAGGATGAAAGAGAAAATGAAGAGGGAAAGTTGAAGATTTTTTGGGTTTAATTATGTTAGTCTCATTTTTTCAAATCAACGGTCGAGATTTAACCTCAATCAACGGCCCAAATCACTTTGGCAGTCCTTCATCATGAAGTTGCTCCAAATTGCGTGCCTCAACTGTCGCGCCCTGCAAACGTTCCATTAGCGGTTATCTCAACCGCCACCTACCAAAAATTGCACCATCCAGACGCTCGAACAGAGTCTTCACAGCGGGCGACCGTGAAGATGACGAACCGCAAGAATCATGCTCGAGCTACCAAATCATCTCTTGTTCGCCCACGAGCCGCTCGAACGTTCAAACGAGCCGTCAGAAGCTGAAATTGACACGCGGTTCACACGGATTACTTTTTAAGCTGATTGTCATTGACTAAGAGTGGGGGGTTTACTGTTGATGTCAAATTTCGTTTCTCATTTTTCATCATACATGTGTCATCATACGTCTCGAAGAATAAGGTTGAATTACGAAATCACCAGCCGAAATGAGCTGCGAGCTGTTGGCAGCTCGAGATCGCTACGCTGCCCAAACAACCAGTCTAGTGGCTCGCCTGACGAGTCGTCAAATGAAATTGTCAATTTAGCATTCGAGAATCAACATGGAAATCTCCTTCGCAGCGTGTATTCTCAACATCAATATGTGAGATCGTGCCCAAAATAGTAAAGGGAAAAGTCAAATGCATTATTTACTTGCTCCCTGATCATATTCTCAATATGTAAAGTATTTCTAGAGGATCTTCAATCAAAAGTCAAATGAAAAACTATCCAGAGCAGTAGCTCTTTCATTGAGTGAACTTATATAAAATTCCCTTTGTCACAATATCTTTGTTTGTCTGTTATTTTTTTATTGTAAACTCGATATTAATTCGTTAATCATCCGAATTCAGTCAATGACCTCTTAATACATTTAATTGTAAAATTTTACCCCTACAAAATTCATGGCCGTTGCTGGAAGTTAGAGAGAGAAAGAGAGGGAGAAGGAGAGAGAAAGAGAACAGCTAAAAGAGAATGAGAGAGAAGAAGAAAAGAAACATAACAGAGTAATTTTAGGCTTCGTTCGTTTCGTTGATTCGAGTTTAAAATTTAAGTTGAGATGTGATTTTATGTGATAACTTTTTACTGTAATAAAAAAGTTAGATGTGATTATTTGTGAGAGCTTTTTACTGTAATAAAATTCAAATTCTAAACTCGGATCAACGAAACTAACGAGTTCTCAGTAACTTCAATATTTTATTATGGCAGAAAATAGATTAGTTCATGCATCAATGGTAAGAGTCGATCTATCATCCAAAGCTGTGGCAAGTAGCGTAATTATCTCGTAAATTTGTGCCTCTTTCACAGATCTGGATGCATAACAGGCTAGGCCCATGAACTTTCAGCCCAATAATAATAACGTCGTCCTTTTACTGTCATCGTCCCAAGAAATTTCCCACTCGTCCTATTCGTCTTCCTTTCAGCACTCAGAGTCGTATATATCATACATTCTCCCCCTCTCTCTCTCTCTCTCTCTCTCTCTCTCTCTCTAAGATGGACTTCGACAGATTCTACCTGCTGTTCATCTTGTCGCTGCTCTGCTCACAAGCTAGGGTTTGATTTCTCTCTCCGATCACTCATTTTGTTAACTCCCAACTCTTCCGTTGTAGATTCTCGATCTGATTATCTCCTTTGATTTCGATTTCAATTTGATTCAGGCCGAAAGTTCTGGATCTGTTTTCTTCATCGACGGCTCTTCTCAGCAGTTTTTCCGCAAATCTTCCGACGATGTCGTCAAGGTAATATTTTGCCCCAATTGCTTCTCCTTTTCAATTTATAGCGTTTACAGAATCCAATTCAAGAAAATTTATGTAGAACTGTGAATTTTCTGGTATAAATACATAGTAGATTCTTAAATGGCTGTTATTACATTAGTTGATTTTCACTTTTAGCATTTATATCAAAATGATGGGAGGTTTTCAACATGATTTGTAAAACCCAAAGAATAGGTGCAATATTCCCGAAAATATAGGGTAGAAGTACACAACTTTTTGATAAAACACGGGGATATTTTTGTTGTTCTTTCTTGTATTTACGTATTGGATCGAAATTACAGAGCGCGGTTGTTATAAGCTAGTTGATACTAGATCAAATTTTCGATCAATATATTTCTACAACTCCACCATTGAGAAAAGGGTTATTTCCTGGATGCGTTGTAGTTATGCTCACCATTATTCTTGTGTGTAGAACTTGTACTGAACAGAAATGAGTGATTTTCATGTTAGGTTGAACGAATTACCTATTAGTTTTTCTTGTCTCGGATTGTAACTAGCGTTTGTACTTGGTGATGAACTTGTGATGATTCTAGAGTTTCTTTTATCTCCGTCTTTCTGCTGTATCATAGTCATGATCGAATTCTGTCGAATGAGGCTTCACTAGTATACAGTTGTCTTTGCCTTTTATATTAATCGTGTAATCTTGCACAGCTTGCTGCCTCAACACGATTTCTTATCACCAAGTTTTGACTTTTACAGCCTGACTCAATTGTGGACACAGAAGCTGGTGCTGCGATCTCAATCTTGCTTGGATTTGCACCACCTTCTACACTTTCTGCAGCCAGCTCGTCTAAGGTTAATTCTGATGAGAAAATTAGTTTCCTAATGTTCCCCATCTTTAAATTGTCAGAATTGGTTCCTGATAATGGCTTTTTTGTCTTTCTTTCTCTCTTTTTTTTTTTCCTCCTTTGGCAGTTGAATCAAGTTCTTGTGCCTAATCCTTTCAATAGGCCTCGTGCCGTTTTCATGCTGGAAATTAGAGGAGCTGATGGTCTCTGCATTTTACTATGTTAGCATATAATTTATTTTCCCAATTTTAACAGTAGAGCTAGTATTGAAGTGAATATTTGGCACATGCAGATTCTAAACTATTGGCAAAAGATGATACCATCTTCAGTAATGCCCTTAGTAGTAAGATTTTTATCAGGTCGAAGAAGGCTGAGATTCAACTTCCAGGTACTTCACGACATGGATAAAGGATAGATTACAATATGTATATGATGAATGGTATTTTTTTTTCCCTGTTGTCTAATATATTTGGAATTTGACAATATATTGATTTGCTACAGATGAAGATGAAGTAGTTGTGGTCTCTTTGGATGAACCATTGGCAGATTTCAACGACAAAGAACTTGGAAATTTTGTGCGTGCTTACACACAGTATTTTTGCTCTCTCTCTCTCTCTCTAATATATTTGGAATTTGACAATATATTGATTTGCTACAGATGAAGATGAAATAGTTGTGGTCTCTTTGGATGAACCATTGGCAGATTTCAACGACAAAGAACTTGGAAATTTTGTGCGTGCTTACACACATTATTTTTGCTCTCTCTCTCTATGTTGTTTAGTTTCATTTCCACTTTTCATTTACACGAGTCATGACAATGTATATGGCGTTTTGGTTTCATGCCATTGTAGGCATCTTGGATTGGTGGAACCTATCTCTCTGAAAATGAGGAACCACTGAATGGAGAGTTGATCATTCCCTTGGCCACTGGTGCTAACTTGAAGCTTCATATGTCAAAGGTGATATTCCTGATTGCTGATAAAGTTTTTGTGTCCAAGTAGAATAGTATTTCTTTCTTTATCTCTCCTAAATTGATCTTTGCCATTTTAATTTAAGGAAAATATTCTTTTTTTTTTCTTTTCTTTTTTCTCGTTTTACAGAAAGCAGACAGGGAATTCACTTTGAGTGTTCTGTCTCTAGTCCGCAATTCTAGGAGAGCAATAGAGATGCATGAAGATATATCTCACGGTTTGCACTATCCAGCTGAGTTGTTGACGGGCTCTTTTGATGGCATCAAGGTAATACATCTTCTTTCTCTCTCTCTCTCTTTTACTCCTCTTCAAAGCTTGATAATTTTCTTATATCTCATGACTGATTAGTAAGATGTATTCCTTCATGCTGGTATATTTCCTTTAATCTAGTTCTTCAAATGTTTTCGCAATCATGGTAATAGGTTTTGCAAGAGCAATATGGACCTGAAGTTGCTGAACTAGGAATGGACGTACTACTTGCTACATTCTCCAAGTTGTACACTGCGTTGGAAGCCACATACAAAGGTTGGTTCTCTTATTGGGATGTTATTATGTTGTCTGACATTCTAGCTTTTATCTTTGTCGTTTGCCTGAGGTCCTTGAATAAGCATTGAGATAAATGGGTTGCATGTGAAACTGCCTTACATTAGGAATCATCGGTCTCATTCCACTTATTTGCTTTGAGAGTAACAGTCACTTCTTGAAAAATTGTGGCTGAAATATGTACCAGATAACTTCCATGTATTGGGTATTAGTTGCTGCAACTATTACAATTTTTTTTTCTCTTTTTTGTGAATCAATAATTCTATTTTCTTAGTCCAACTTTTTTTTGTAGAAAATTTTTTTCTCTTCCTGTCCCACAATTCGTAGCAAATTGATGGCAGGTCAAATAGTTGGAGTTATCTTTTGCTATGGCACTGATGCTTCTCCGGAGTCAGGCAAGATGATGGATGTGGTGTTTGCCCCTCGGCGCTCTGTGCGTTGGCTGGAAGAAACAGAAGCCTCAGATGAAGTGACTCTAAGTGTATTGTTGGTTAGACGGACCCTTGCTTGGATCACAGGAATTATACTTGTCATTGCGACACTCTTGGGGGTAAGATTATACATCTTCAGACACTTATTGATACATTTAAGACGGGAATGAATGTGGAAGCAAATGAAACAAAACAAAAGAGCCAATTTGTATTTTGTGAACTTAAGGCTTTGTTTGGTAAGAAGAAAGAAAATAGGGAGAAGAAATGGTTTATGATCCAGTGAGGAAAATAAAGCGGAAGGAGAGGACCCTTTTTATTGTATTTGGCATGGATTCCCTCCCTTTATTGCCTATATTGGGAGAGATGAAAATTGTGGCTCTTTGAAGAATTTGAGATCCTTCACCCTATCTATTCCCTCGTCTTTTTTTTTTTTTTCTCTTCTTTTCTTTTTTTTCCCTTACTCTTATCAAAGGTCCTAAAATTCTGTCAATGATCCCTTTACCCCTCTCCCTCATTCCATTTTTTCCTCCGACCAAACAAGCTCTAAATTGGAAGTAACAGATTTAGCTAAAAACATTCACCAATCAAAATGTTATTTACAGATTTGAAGTTTATTAATTCTGCACAATAAAACTAGTCACGATTATTTTCTTTTTTCTTCTGTGCAGATTTACTTCCTTTTGAATATGCCACTCACGAGGGATACCCTTCTCTATTCAAATGTCAAGCTTGACTAAGCCTTGTGGAGCTACCTACATCAGTGATGAATTGTCAGAAGACGGCCAGGTTGCGTTCGGGTTAAGTAGATTTGCTTTCTGAATATACGTCGCATGCATGTCGAGTTTAGCATTTTTTATATGAAAACTGCTTATTATTTCTGTGGTATTAAACAGAGGTAGCTCTTAGGTAATCTGAGTTTTCTCGTCCAGGCACTGGTGGCCAGATCAATTCGGGAATTTTCTTTAGTGGAAAGCTTTTTGATAGCCACATTTTCTTTTTTTTGAATGTAAAGCATGGGACTGGGCAACATGGATGGGGAAGAACTTCGTGTGCTGATCTGATAATAATGGTCATGAAAGGAGGGTCTACCGTGATTGTATTTGTTCATTAGATTATAATACCTTGTGTATTTTCCGAGCTCTAAATAATGAAAACGCATTTGAATATTATTTTTCCGGTTACCATTGTATTGTCTTGTTTTAGAAATAAATCATTTTTAGGAAAATTTTACTTCATGATTATGTTGTTACGCGTCCCTCTTTCTGATTGTATCCTTGGCTGGTAGAATAGAACTTATTTGATAATTTGAATAAACTTTTTTTTGTTTTTTTGGAACATACGAACCATTATATTCTTAGTCTTGTTATTGTTGGCCAAAATAGGCGCATCAAAATAGTGCCGGTAAAGTGGATGATTGTGATTGTGATTTGCCCCAAATGGGGACTAACGGTGCTAACAGATTAAGGTTTTGTTCATTTTATTGATTTGAGTTTTGTTACAGTAAAAAACTCTCAGAAACAGTTACATTTAACTTTTTTGTTACAATAAAAGATTCACATAAAGTCACATCTCAATTCGAATTAAAAATTTAAATCAACGAATTAAACGGGTCTTAAGAGTTTTGGGAACTTAGGTGTTTAAATTCTTAAAATAGGGACTTAAATGCTAAAGGTTACAAAATTTGGGAATCCATGACGCAAATATCCCTAAAAGAACTAATTACTATTATTGTCCAAGTCATATACTAACCAAAATAAATTGACCAATATGAGTGAGCTACATTAATTGCAAATGTTGTGAGGACGATGTCATCTGTTAGATTTATCAGATGACAGTCATAATAGATGTAAAAGCAATGATCTAATAGATTTATCATTTTGCCAGTTCCAATAGAGAGTAATACCCACATCACAAGTGCACAGCAATTTAGCTATCTCATATACAGGCACAAGGCATGTAATTGATTCTTCTGCATTCAATATGAATGTATAATATTGGCAGAAATGGTAAAAAGCAATGCATTTATGAGTGAATAAAATACAAAGGGAAAAAAATAAAAGAGGAATTTACTGATATTAGTGAAATAATCATTTATCAAACTAAATAAAAGAGGAATTTATTGATGTCATTACAAATCACTGACCAAAGTCATCTTTAAAAAAAAAAATGTTTTGTAGAATACAATAATCTATAGGTAAAAATGCATAATCGGTAGAAAGAAAGAGAATAAAATAATCTATAGATACAAATCACAATCGCAATGAAGCTTGTATCTCTTGCATTCAAACCGAACTATCATCTTATTAATGGAAGTGAAACTAATCTATGACAAGTAATATGAAGTTTACAAGATAGGCATAGAAGAATCACATACCATGAATCATTCAAAGAGGCCTATAATAGGTTGTTTACCCGGTAAACAAACAGACTTAGTTCAGGTAAATGATTCATTTACCATTGAAATCAGATTCTGTTTCTTGACAACCAGTTAAGTAGAATGTTTGAACCATAAGCACATCTAAAATAAGAATAGTGAATGCTAAAACAGAATTATAACTTTAGTTTCATCTATGGCTAATACCAAATAAAAAAACATGTATTTTGTAGAAGACAACAAACGCCATTAAGTTTCCAACAACAATAGCCAGGTATTTATCTCACAGGGTCTTCCATAGGTCCATTTTTCTATGTCTATCTCTGTGCTTCAAAGCTTAATAATAAGAATATATTGTTTTGATTCTATAAAAACTATTTACCAGAATCTAAATAAATAGTATACCAAATATAACATAATCAATTTTATTAGTAAATAGATCAGTTACCACGTAAATGACGTATTTACGAATGAAATAAGACATGCTCAAACAACTCAAAAAGGGAAAAAAGAACTAAAGCGTATAATGACATGTAAATGAATTCAGAAGCAACTTAAACAATTCAGCTATTCTGAGTAATTTCAAAACAACTTGCAATATTATTAACGCACATGAACCTATTCAAGAGGAGCCAAAATCACACAGCCTAAGCGCCAATCTCCAAAATAATATAACCCACTAAGATCCTTTATTGGTTTATTTACCAAAGACAAGAAAGCAAAGCATCAATTTCAAAAACCCAATCTCTGGATGGATTTAATCAAGAACCAACAAAGCTAAAACGGGCATATAATATGCTAACAAATTACCTAAGCCAAATTATGAAACTGCATTATCAATAAATCGAAAACAAACATGTCCAAAGATACCAACTAGTAGCATTGGAAATCACTTACGCTCAACCTACTTTCCAACCCACAATCAAAACCAACGCAAAATCACCATAAGAGGAAGAAACTAGTAAAATGCCACTCCAAAAACAATTTTTCTAGCTAATCCACTACAAAGTAACTAACTACTTAACTAAAAATGGAAGAAATTTAAAGGGTTCATTTACTACTGACATTAGATTATATTTCTCTTTGTTAATGAAAACTAGAGCATACTGAAACGGAGTCATTCATTTTTGAGCGAGAGAAAGAGGTGCAAGGAGAGAGAAAGGGCGTCGGAGAAAGGAGTAGCGAGAGAGGGAGGTGCGGAGGAGAGAGAAAGGGCGTCGGGAAGAGGATGAGTGAAGGAAGAGTTGCGGAGGAGAGAGAAAGGGTGTTGGAGAGATGAAGAGCGAGAGAGAGTGTGTTAGCGCATATGTCCTTAAAAATAAACGTAACAAAGATATTTTGATTATTAATAAAGATTTATTTATTTTATATATATATTATTTTTTTTACGTTCATATTAATTAAATGTACGATAAGTAAATTGAAAGTTTGATACTATTATTTTAAGTCCTTAGATCGTACATATAATAAAAATCATGCATGTAATGAGAATAACATGCAAAAAATAAGAATTTAAAGATGATAGTTTAAATAATATGGTCCACAATTGAGAGAATAAAGTTAGACGCGTTATTACTGTTAAGATTGTTATGTTGTCTACTTTTTAACGGAAACGGCTTATCTTAGTCGTCGGATGTGAGACTCCGTGAGTAGAGACATTAATATAGTTCCTAGTGATTGAATCTATATTGGATCGGATCAAAGTTGAATTGTTTTAATTAATAATTCCGTTTGAATATAATAATTCACTTATGACGAATTATATGTGGCCATCTTAATCTTGAGATGAATAATGAACGCGTATGCTTAACTTGTATCATTTGATATACCAAAAGTAAATATCCTGATATTATGTAAATGTACGTTTACTGGTAAGTTTGGGGTTTTACTCTTCTGTACTTAGATTTATTATTCATAGATAGGGAATCCATAGCAATTATAAAGAGTCAATGATATTCTTTTATGACATTATCCGCAGATTGAAAAATATGAGCGCTCGGCCATAAAACTATTTTGTGTTATAATCTAATGGTTTACTATTTAGATTGGCACGAATAGTGGATTTTCTAATGGATTGATAATTAAACATAAGATAAATATAATCAGAAAGGTAAAATATGACTTGACCTGAAGTCGATTATGGATATATTTTGGGAATAATGCACTAATATAATAAGTCGTGGACGGAAGCTATTCGGAGCTTTGTAAATATATTATATAGATTGAGAATATAGCTCTAGGCTTTTAGTATAGTAGCGCTAGAGTTTATAATCATGTAATAAACTTTTCGATTAACAAGTACTATCATGATTATAGGAGCTTGATCTCTATTTATCCATCGAGTCCATTTGCTAGCTCATATAACTTTTAGTAAGGATACGACGTATTTCCTACATATTGGTAACTTATGTTAGTTCTGCAAATAGGTTCAAAGTCAATGTGCGATCAGTGATTAATTCATGAGTTATTTATCAGGTGAATTAATTATTAAATTAATTCTAAATAAATTGGTTGAATTATTGTTTTGAGTTTTATTTAATATGGGAAAGTTATTATATGATTATTTTGATCAAGTAACTTCTATAATGGGTTACTTGAATTAAACCTGAAGCTCTATGTAAGTTTCTCGTATTGAATAAGTTGAGAATCAAGCAATTCGGAACAAGGACCAGTCGATCGGTGACCGGGATGGTCAACCGGTATGTAACTTTTTAGACTGTTCCGTGTCATACACCAGTCAACCGGTGAGTTTATAAAGGCTTTGTGTGCAGTCGACCGGTTAGTACTGATGACGTGTTAAAACTGACTTAATACGATGTTTGACACAAGATAGACTTTGGGAAACCTAATTATTGTGGGAATATGACTTCCTAAACTCTATAAATAGTCTGGTAAGTCTCATTATTCATTAGGTCACTTGAGAGACTTTTTTGGGACTGTTGATAAGGATTCTTGAGAGGAAAAATTGATTAATTCTCAAGATCTAATTTTCCTTTTGATCTCTTGTGGTTGGAAGGAGTTTAAGAATACCAATGGGAGATTGAACGATGTGTGCCCACTTACACTTCGATCGTGGAAACGAGAATAGCAAAGAAGATCATTTAGTTGAAGCTCTTCCGGTTGCTATTTAGAACGCTTTGATATATTAGACGTGTTCTTTTCATAATCTCTAAAGGTATGATTAGATCTTTAGTATTTATGTTACATATCATTATAAACATGTTTTTGATTGATTTTGACATTGATTAAAATTTTAAAATTCTGCTACGCACTTAATGTCATTTTCCAACAGAGAAAGGTGCATAGGAGAAGGAAAGGGTGTTGGAGAGAGAAGGAGCGAGATAGAGTGGGAAGGACATAGGCCTCGTTCATTTCGTTGATTCGAATTTAGAATTCGAGTTTTTTTACAGTAAAAAGTTCTCACAAACAATCACATCTCATTTTTTTACTACAGTAAAAAACTCTCACATAAAATCACATTTTAACTTGAATTCTAAACTCAAAAAATCAAAGTTTAAGAATTCAATTATCTAAATATTCAAAATGGACACCCAAATCAAATGCTACGTTTGGGGACTCCAGGTACAAAAATCGCTTTAATATTTCTTTCTTTATTGAAATATTTACACGAAATTATCACTCTTATCCTCCGTGTTTAGAATATATTTTTAATTTAATAATATTATTAATCTGCCCATTATATAAGTTACTAATATAATATAATTCCAAATATATTTCTTTCTGAATAGTTGTCAATTTGTGTAACTAATTTTAAAAAGTAGTTAATTAAGAATAAAAATATAATTATGGCTTAAGACTTATATACAAATATAACAATGTCATCCATTCCAAAATAAAAATATTTGTGACATCATTCATTTTATTAATTTAAATTTAAAATTTAAAATTTATTATAATAAATTTTTTTAAAAAATAATTATATTTAATTTTTTTTATTATAGTAAAAATTTTAATTAACTTCTTTATTTTGTCTGAGGCCACGTCAGGCTATCAGATTACATCTCCGCCGCCTGTGGGACCTCAAAGGTGTGGTTCAAATTTCCCACCAAACTTGACAAATATCTTCTTTTTCTTTTTCTGTGAAATCTCTGAGAAATCTCTCAAATCCTTCAAAAATGTGTTCATCTTCTTCCTCTTTTCCTCTCTTTCTCAACCCTCCCATTCACCACAAACCTCGACCTCTCTTCCCCTCTGCAACATTCTCCTCCTCGTCTCGCTCTCTCGGCTTCAAATCCTTTCTTTGCTTCTCCTCCGACCCCTCCCAATTCGACCGCCGAGAGGTCCTGTGGCTCCGCGAGGAGCAGCGATGGCTCCGCGAGGAGCAACGGTGGCTCCGCGAGGAGCAGCGCTGGGCGCGGGAGCGCGACTCGCTCCTCCGCCGGATCGCCAACCTCGAGCGCCGGATTCAGGCCATGCAAGGCTCCGAGGCCGTCGCGGGCGTCGCTGCTCTTGTCCAGGCTCTGAAGGACCAGAGCCGGATCGCCGAGAGTGGGACGAGCGCGAGTCCGATTGTTTTGGAGGAGAAGAAGAGCGCGGAAGATGAGGAGAGAGAGAAGGAAATGGTGGTGGTGGAGAAGGTGGTTAGGGTTTCGGATGGAGAGGCCGCGAAGACGACCGGGAAGAAGAAGAGGAGTGCTCTGAGGATGGGATCGGAAGGAGAAGAAGTTCGAGCTATGCAGGTCTGCTTTTGCAATCTGATCAAATTGCAAAGGCGAGTTTTTTTTTTTTTTTTTTTTCGGGTTAATTACTGTTTTTATGTGTTTATTCATATAATCAAACAGCAACTCAATATAAAATTTGAACCTAAATATCTAAAAAGGAGCGGAACTTTTAGGGTTTATGTCATTAATATTACTATAGATGATGATTTCCGAATTTGGATGTATCTGGTATTTGGAATTTTTCATAAAGTTGATTATGTGACAGGAAGCGTTGGAAAAATTAGGATTTTACTCAGGTGAGGAAGACATTGAATATTCTAGCTTTTCAACTGGAACTGAGCGTGCTGTGAAGACTTGGCAAGTAAGTTGCTAACTCTTTTTTTTTTATTTAAAATTTTTTATGTGGTCTTTGATAAACAGATGAAATATTTTGAGAATAGTTTCTCTGTAAATTAATGGCCAAAAGTTTTAGATGAAATGGTATTTTTAAATGGTATTGTGTGTGACAGGCCAGCTTAGGTGCCCGAGAAGACGGGATAGTGAGTGAAGAACTTCTTGAGAGATTATTCATGGAGCAAACACAGGGTGTTAGCTCAAACAAGAATGCAGAACCAAAGGTCTGTCCAAACAGCAGTATAATATTTTCTGCTGTGATTTTAGTTTTGATGTTATTGTTTAGTTGATTTGGTTATTGGTTTTAATTTCAACCATAGTCAAGTTATATTGTTGCGTAGCTTTATTAGGGCATACTATAAGTTTCTTAACGCAGAGAAAGGGATGTGCCATAAGCCTCACCATCACAAAAACTCCCAGATTTTTAGACTTAGAAAACACAGTAATGTAATAGAACATAAAGTATCACTATTAAAGGTAATGATCTTCCTAGTATAATATCGATAGGAAGAAACGTAAGGTTCTAGAGTGTTAAATTAGACCGATTTATTGCTTCTATAGATTATTTACAAGTTTAGATACCCTTATTTTGATAGGGATCGTCTAAATGCATAGTTTAAGCTAGCTTTATCACAACTACTCTTGTTTCTTTCTTTCTTGAACCGGGGTGGGAAAATTCAAACTCTAGACGTCTACATTGGAGATAGAGATGTTGGAAAATGGCTTGTTAAGCCATATTAAAGGCCCATTTTAGGCCCATTTTAAAAAGGGGCCTAATTAGATTTTGGGACGGGTTACGATGGATTTGCGTTCTCTATCACGAGAAGATTGAAATCGAATATTCATACACTCAATTTATATTAGGTGAATGAGAAATTGATGTTTTAAGTATGTCACTTGAAAGGGTTGAAGAAGTTGGAAATTGCAAAAATTTCACATTGGCTAGGAATGAAGCCTTGGTGGTGTTTATAAGCGATTGCATTTTGAAGTCAAGGTAAGCATGTGTACCAGAGAGGCTCTCTCACGCGCTAGGGGGGTGTGAATCACAGTCCCGGCGGGTTAGGGGCCCAATGTGTGCGCTCGTGACCTGTGTACACGATTGCCGGACCGAAAAATCCGCTCTGTGCGAGCTTAGTTTTGCAATTTTTTATTTTTTGATTTGGCCTAAGACCTCCGTTTTGCCTAAACTTAATGGTTGGTAAATGAGCATAATGGTGTGTAATTCGTTTTTTAAGTTTGGTAGAAAGGTTGAATTAGTGTTGTAACAATTTCATTATTTTGATCTTGCAAAAGTTGTTGTTCTTCTTTGTATTATTCATATTTTTGCTAACAATCTTAAAACCGATTTGATACAAAGAAGGATTTCGCAGGAGGAAAAAAGGAAAAAAAAAGAAAAAGGAAAAAACGTTTTTCTTTTGAAGAAATGGCGAATAACATGAACGTGGTTGTTCCTGCTGGAAGCAACACCATGACGCCTGAACCGTCACCTGTGGGACAAACGTCTGTCTCGGTCCCGACCCCTGCTTTGACCTCGACGCGACCTTCGCCGGTCTTGGTTCATGTGAACCACAATTAAAAGCTTGATAAATTCAATGGGCTGAATTTTAAGACTTGACAACAAAAAATGTTGTTTTATTTGACAACGTTGAATCTTGCGAGATTCTTAAAAGAGGATCCTCTTACTGTTAGAGAGCATGAAGTGGATGCTTAAGCATTCTACGTGGTTGATGCATGGAACCATTCTGACTTTCTGTGTCGGAATTATGTGCTGAACGGCTTAGTTGATGGGCTTTACAACGTGTATAGCTCAAAGAAAACAACTAAGAAATTATGGGAATCTTTGGACTAGAAATATAAGTCCGAGGACACGGGTGTTAAGAAGTTCTTAGTAGGCTAATTCCTGAATTACAAGATGGTGGACTCGAAGATTGTTATTAGTCAAGTTCAAGAGCTCCAATTGATAATTCATGAGATACATGCTGAGGGAATGACTATTTGTGAATCCTTTCAGGTAGCTGTGCTGGTAGATAAGCTACCCTCTTTCTGGAAGGAGTTCAAGAGCTATCTGATGCACAAGAGGAAAGAGATGACCGTTGAGCAATTGGTTGTCAGGCTTCCTATTGAAGAAGACAATAGGCGGACTGAGAAGAAGTTCTCCAATGTAATCGCAAGCTCTGCTAAGGCTAATGTGGTGGAGCGTGATAACTCCAAAAAGAAAGAAAAGCCCGGATCCAAGTTGAGACTAAAGGGAGGAATTGTCAAGAAGAAATTACAAGGGAAGTACTTCAATTGCAACAAGGTTGGGCACAAATCGGCAGACTGCAGGCTGTCAAAGCGAAACAAAGATAAGGAGGCCAATGTTGTGAACACCATTTCCAAAGAAGTGTCCGACATTAGCTTGTCTGTTGTGGTTTCCGAAGTGAACTTGGTCGACTCCAATTCAAATGAGTGGTGGCTCGATACTGTGGTTACAAGACACATTTGCTGTGACCGGGTCGAGTTTGCTAATGTAGTTTCGTTGGAAACTGGAGAAAAGCTTTTCATGGGCAACTCTGCAACTTCTGTGATCAAGGGCCAAGTAACGGTGTTCTTGAAGATGACCTCGGGCAAGGAAGTGAAGCTTTCACAGCGTGCTATATGTGATGCTCAGCATGCACGGCTTCAAGATGGTGTTTGAAGTTGATAAAATAGTTTTGTCTAAGATAAGAATGTATGTGGGGAGGGCTTATGTAAAGAGTGACATGTGGAAAATGAATGGCATAGCTGTAAAACCTAAGAAAATGAATAAAAAGAAAGAGTATTCCGTTTATATGTTTGAGTCTTCTAACTTATGGCATGACAGACTAGGACATGTTAATTATGATACTTTGCGTAGATTAATTAACTTGGATCACATACCCGCATTTTATATTAATTCAAAACGTAAATGTGAAACTTGTGTAGATGCAAAACTAATAAGGTCATCATTCTAAACGATAGAAAGGAATACTGAACCACTTGATCTAATACATAGTGATGTTTGTGACTTAAAGTTTGTACAAACTAGAGGTGTAATAAGTATTTTATTACTTTTATTGATGATAGCACAAAGTATTGCTATGTATATTTACTAAAAAGCAAACATGAAGCTGTAGAGAAATTTATTCTCTACAAGCAAGAAGTTGAAAACCAACTTAATAAAAAGATTAAGATGGTAAGAAGTGACCGAGGTGGTGAATATGTCGAACCATTTAGTGCGCTTTGTGCACAGTATCACTTCCATATTCCCCCCAATCGAATGACATTACTGAACGAAAAAATCGTACCTTAAAGGATATGACGAATGCAATGTTAATAAGTTATGGGTTGTCATAGAACATATGGGGAGAAGTCATTTTATCGGCTAATTACCTTTTAAATAAGGTTCCGCGTAAGAAAATCGATAAATCCCCAATGAATTGTGGAAATGAAGGACACCTTCCTACAAATACTTAAAAGTGTGGGGGTGTTTGGTCAAGGGAATGACACTAATGCCAAAGAAGATGAAGATATGTCCGAAAGTGGTTGATTGCATCTTCATGGGGTATGCTCATAACAGTATCGCATATCGATTTCTTGTGCACAAGTCTAAAAACCCTGACATACACAAGAACACAATAATAGAGTCTAGGAATGCATCGTTCTTTGAACATATATTTCCATGTAAGACTAAGAAAGATGAGCCAAGTTCGTCAAAATGAATTTTTGAGACTCATAGAAGATTGTAGTCAAAATTTTAGAAACGATGAAAATGTGAAAACGGAGGAAGAGCCTAGACGAAGTAAGAGGGCAAAGATAGAAAAGTCTTTCGGACCGGATTTTCTAACCTATATGCTAAAGGTTGAACCTCAAATGTGTAAAGAAGTTGCGAGCTCAACTGATAGTCGCTTATGGAAAGAAACTATAAGGAGTGAGATATATTCTATCTTCCAAAATCATACTTGGGAACTAGTAGACCTTTCACCAAAAAATAAACTACTAGGTTCTAAATGAATTTTTAAACGGAAAATGAAGACAGATAGAACAATTGACAAATATAAGGACAGACTAGTAATAAAAGGTTATAGACAATGAGAAGGCGTTAATTATTTTGACACGTATTCTCTTATGACGAGAATAACATCTATAAGGATGATACTAGCTAGTGCTGCGCTGCAGAATCTTGAAGTTCATTAAATGGATGTGAAGACAGTCTTTCTAAATGGAGATTTGGAATAAGAAATCTACATGGAACAATCTGAGGGTTGTGCAGTTCATGGACAAGATAAGAAAGTCTGCAAATTGGTGAAGTCTTTGTACGGACTGAAACAAACACCAAAACAATGGCATAAGAAATTTGACGATGTCATGATGTCAAATGGATTCAAAATCAACGAGTGTGACAAATGTGTTTATATCAAAAATACCGAAGACGGTTATGTCATTCTTTGTCTGTATGTAGATGACATAATAATTGTGGGTAGCAATGATTGGATGGTCAAATCTACCAAACACGTGTTGAACTCGAGGTTTTACATGAAAGATATGTGACCGGTTGATGTGATTTTGGGGATCAAAATCAAAAGGGTGCTTAATGGTCTAATATTGATTCAGTCACATTATGTGGACAAGATACTTGACAAGTTTAATAAAGATGATTTTGGTATAGCCAAAACTCCTATTGATATAAGTTAACATCTGTCCAAAAACAGAAGAGAAAGCATATCCCAGGTGGAGTATGCTAGAGTGGTTGGTAGTCTGATGTACTTAATGAGCTGTACAATACTAGATATTGCCTTCACTGTAAGTAGATTGAACAGATTCACGAGTAATCCAGGAGATGACCACTGGAAAGTAATTGTGAGAGTACTGAGGTACTTAAGATATACTCGTGACTATGGACTGCATTACACAAGAGAACTTGTTGTTTTAGAAAGATACTCTGACGCAAGTTGGATATCCGATACACAGGATTCTAAGGTTACTAGTGGATATGTATTCACATTGGGTGGTGCAGCTATTTCATAGAAATCCTCTAAGCAAACGGTAATAACCAGATCCACGATGAAAGCTGAGTTTGTCGCATTGGATAAATGTGGCGAAGAAGCTGAATGACTTAGACATTTCTTGGAGGACATTCTGGATTGGTCAAAACATATACCTGCAATTTGCATGCATAGTGATAGCCAATCAGCTATTGGTATAGCACATAATACGATGTATAATAGTAAGTCTAGACATGTACGTCGTCGACATGATACCATTCGACAACTGATCTCAACAATAGTTATAGTCGTTGACTATATAAGGTCGAAAGACAATATTGCGGATCTGCTGAACAAAGGATTAAATAGAGATCTAGTTGAAAAAACATTGAGAAGAATGAGACTGAAGCCCATAGAATAAATAGGTCGAAGTAGTGGAAACCCAACTTAGTTGACTGGAGATCCCAAGATCTAGGTTCAATGAGACAATTAAATTGTTTAGACCAGCTGAGTTCACTGTGGGGGTAACCCCAATCTATTCCTATGATGATAATAGTGAAACCCGTACGAAAAGAGGTTAAACATTATTTTTTTATGATTCTTATGCGTCAGATACGTTAGGAATTCGAGCGGAGTAATACGGGTTACTCTTCATTAAGAAATCACCTATGTGAGAGAGAAATGTGGCCGCTTAAAAAGAGAATTGGGAGGGCTTAATTCTTTAGAAACTCTTGCAAAACCAGGTAGATGCTCATGGCCAAAATGAACATAACCATGAGAACAAAATTGTGTCAGGAAAATGTCTGTGTGAGATATATTAACGTTTACACAAAGGCAGAACAGTTCAAGGATATCGCGTTTACTGGTCAGCCAGTAAAGTTAATGTATTCTCACAAGAAAAGGTTCAAGGGTTAATGCCTAGTCCTACTTATCCTTTGCAAGCATCGACTGTAGAACTCTATCATCGTGTCGAGTCTGTGTTTTTCTCGTCGTCAATCAATTTTCATTCATGTGGGAAATTGTTGGAAAATGACTTGTTAAGCCATATTAAAGGCCCATTTTCGAAAGGAGCCTAATTGAATTTTGGGACGGGCTTCGATGGATTTACATTTTCCATCATGAGGAGATCGAAATCGAATATTCATACACTCAAAATCGATATTGGGTGAATGAGAAATTGATGTTCTAAGTATGTCACTTGGAATGGTTGAGGAAGTTGGAAATTGCAAAAATCTCACATTGGCTAGGAATGAAACATTGGTTGTGTTTCTAAGTGATTGCACTTTAAAGCCTAGGTAAGCATGTATACCAGAGTGGCTCTCTCACGCGTAGAGGGGTGCGAATCACGGTCCCGGCAGGTTAGGGGCCCAATGTGTGCGCTCGCGACTTGCGGACACGAATGCCGGACCGAAAAATCCGCTCCGTGCAGGCTTAGTTTTGCAATTTTTATTTTTTGATTCGGCCCATGACCTTCCAGCCGTTTGGCCTAAGCTTAATGCTGTGCTTAATGGTTGGTAAATGAGCTTAATGGTATGTAATGGGGCTTAATGGTGACTAATGAAGGAAAATCAAAATTTGCCATGGTTAATAAGCTTAATGGCATCAGTTTTCATCATTAAAGTCCGAATCTATATGAGAAATGTGGCCGGATTCATCATTGGAGAAAACTAACAATTTTGCTCCATTATAATGCAGATTAATGTGTGTTTAAACACCATAATATCATGGTCGAATTTAGAGCCTATATAAAGGCCCTACTCCACATGAACAACTCACTCAAAAAAACAGAACACTCTTCTTCTCTCTCTCGGTTTCTTTCTTTTGTCGAGTTCTTCTTACAATTCTTTTTGTAGTTCAGTTTTAGTAATAGATGGAAGGTCCGAGTTCTAGTTCGCCGGACGGTTCCGATAGCGCTTCGAGTTACTGTCATTGTCGTTGTATTCTGGGAAACGGACGTCTAACGTTACTTCAAGCACTCACCGGAGGCGACGAATCTTTTTTAAGGAAAACGTGGTTCACTTGCCTTGACATCTTTACAATTCATTTTTCAAGTTTGGTAAAAAGGCTGAATTTGTGTTGTAACAATTTCATTATTTTAATCTTGCAAAAGTTGTTGTTCTTCTTTGTATTATCTATATTTTCGCTAACAAGAGATGTGTACTTACTGCTAGGCTATGCTTGTAACTGCTACGATAATTACTCTGTAGTTTTACCATTCAGTTATGTTTTCGAATGGAAGCATTAAAATTCCATATTAAACGTCTTTTTGGGTTCTGGTGCTGTGTAGGAAGGTGCAAACGGATCTGCTATAACATCTGTAACTGAGATTTCAAACGTTCAACAAACGGCAGTAAAAGACGAAGGTGTTAAAGGAGTAGAGGTATCCAAACATCGTGTTTACCTTCTAGGAGAAAACCGATGGGAAGAACCTTCTAGACTTGGTGGTCGGGACAAAAAAGTTGATGATAAGAGCACGAGCAAGTGCCATGTTTGCCGCGGGGAGGGTCGATTAATGTGTACAGGTACTAATCCTTCCTTCTTTGCTATGAATCGACAAAGCTGAAGGTCTCGTTCATTTCACCGATTCGAGTTTTCAATTCTAGATTTCTACAGTAAAAAATTTTCAGAAAATGTCACATTTTAGTTTTTCTGCTACAGTGAAAAGCTCTCAGAAAATGTCACATCTCAACTTGAATTGAAAACTCGAATCCGCAAAGTGAACGAGGCCGAAGAATTCGTGATCTTCCTGCAAGTGATCCTAATCCAATCACATATTAATAATCTCCAATTGGTTACAAGTAGAAAATCCATAATTGACTTAACTGTCTTATGAGAGATAAATTAAGCACAAAATCTCTCTTGTTGCAGAATGTGATGGAACAGGCGAAGCAAACATTGAACCTCAGGTGAAAATTATGCTGACACAGATCAGTAATCATATTTGATTCGTTATCATGGAATTAGTTCATATATTTTGAGTTCAATTATGCAGTTCTTGGAATGGGTGGATGAGGGGGCAAAATGTCCATATTGTGAAGGCCTTGGATACACAATCTGCGATTTATGTGAAGGGAAAACAATGCTATAGGTAATATCTAATATATTTCTCCTCACATGTATAGTATACGTGTAGTATACTCCTTAGTACATTTGCTGCGTTTGTCTAATGAACTTTTTGTTGGAGAAACGGAAGAAAAAGGGCCTTTTAAGATCCCGCAGTGAAACATATCAGATCCCAGAGTATTAAAGATGGGAAATTTGCAATCTGGAGTCAACAACAGCTCTCACAAATCACAATAACCTCAAATTAAAATATAAGACAAGAAAAATAAGGAAAAGGAATGCCAAAGAGAGGAGGCGCGAGTTAATTTCTGCATCGTTGGTTACTTCTACGTGATGATTGAAATCATCAAATCTCATTTAATTTTTTTTATTGCTAAATAGTTGACAAAAATAAAACTCTGAACAAGACACTTTTTTTTTCTTTGAGGGAATGTGGAGCCAAGTATCGAATTATTGCCTGCAATCACGTGAGCAAGACTCTTCGGGTTGTTCTTTTGTCCAAAAAATTTTAAAAAATACAACTCAAGTTATAATTTTATTTAAGTTCATGTTCTCTTAAGTTTCAATTTTATTTAACTTTATTCAACTTTATTCAAGTTACAATTTCAACTTAAGTTATAACTCAAATTTAATTTAAAAACTGTACTCAAGTTACACTCTAAAAGAATAACTCCTTCATGTTGCATCATTCATCACCAGCTCATATTCATAAATAAAATACTTTTAAGGGTGAATCAGAAGGGAAAATCAACACCTATTTTTACTTTAGGAATTAAGGTTGTGCACGTATTTTAACTTAATGAGAAAATTGTTTAACTTATCTTTAGAATGTATGAGTTTAGATTTTTACCTTTATTCTTAATTAATATTATTTTGACTAATATCATTATTTAACTAAAAATGATATTAATTAAGAATAAAGAGTAAAAGTTAGATTTATACACTTTAAGTAGTATTTGTCTCATTTCTTTTGAAATAATTTGTGTAGAGAAAATAAAGCTTATTAATGTATAGATAAGTAGCTGAAATCATAAATGCGTGTCACTTTGAGATTTCCATGATGATTAGATTGAAAAAAAAAAAAATCAGAAGCATTTCATACATCTAGACCGATTTTTTTTTCTTAAATAAAATTAATTTTTTTAGAAAAGAAATACGTAAAATTTGTTATTGTCCATTACCCTGGACGTACCTTGCTCATGTTAAAGGAGAAATGAGACAAATACTTTTTTTTTATAGTGAGTCTAAATTTTTACTCTTTATTATGTTAATTTTCAAAGCGATTTCGAATGCAGAAGTGTGTATGAAGTGGATCGTGTATAATAAAAATTTCATAAAATATTAAGATACTCTATAGATTACATTAATTTATGTATGAATAAATTAATCACATTAATTTATTTAACTAGCGAACGATTAGGTCGATAACTTGAGTTTTTTGACCATGAACGTTTCTTGCTTCAAGTTAGTTTAGAACACTCGAATCTTTCTCATCAATTTCTTAAATCTACGAAGACGTATGTGTGGACACACCTGAAATAAAACGGGATTAGTAAATAAACACTCAAGTTTACCACAAACACCAACACATGCACGACGTATAATTTGAAAGAGAATTTTTCCTTTTCTCACTATAAAATTCGGCCACCTATGTTAGGGAGAGCAAAAATTGTATTATCTAATTTTCTACAATCTCTTATTTATAAAACAGTAGTCAGACTCCCAGAATAAGTTTCATCTTTATTTCCAAGATAAAGGTTAATAATTATCTCTCACTTCTAATTTGATTTTTGAAACAAAATCCCTCTCTTATCGACAATGGCCGGCCACCACAGGGAGATTCCTCCCTGTGGTTGGTGCAATTTGCAGGTAGGGAATAGGGCAAAATTATGCATTTATTATGCAGTCCAATTTTGACTCAAATTTAAATTTCAATTTAAGTCATACTTAAATCAATTTGAATTTTAAATTAGACAACTTATCAAATAAATCAATTGGATAACTTGAAGATCAAACAATTAAATCCCAGAAGGATTCACACTATATAGGCGTGTACACCACGTGGACACCTCCACATGTATGTTCTAAAATTCAAATTTAAATTTAAATAATCACATTATTTAATTTATAATTAATTCACAATTAATTATTCTTGAGTGTTGTATTTTAGAATTTCATAATTCTAAAATTTTCATTTTGCCCTTAGTGTCTTATAGGATTACAAGGACGACGCGGAGATTCATGAACCTATAATTTTGAGCTCTAATAAAATTAATAATTTATTAAACTCTTTAATTAGTTAATAAATTTTATTAATTTCAAAAGTTACTCCACTATAAACTTGGAATTGCACTCTCGTAATTATAGATATAAATTACTTCTAAAATGTGAAGTATCCATTTGATATAGTCATTACATATAGATCAATCCTCCATAAATAACATCTTTATCCTTGAGTACCATTGATTCTCTAATGGACAGTGATTCATAAAACAAATTCATGAATCAGAGTTCCTACTAGTCCAAGTATTGAATCCCTCAAGAGAATTATTTATCTACTTCTTTCTCAAGAAGGAATGGATTCCATCTTGTATAATAACATTCTTGACTACTCACTTCATCATGTCTCAAAAATACAAGGAATAGGATTTAACGTCTCAGAATTCATACCGAGTAAATAAAAAGACACAAATCCATAAATATGAGTACATTAAAAACTCAGGATTAAGATCATTCTATTTATGATCATCGCTAAACTCAATTAGAATTTTTATACTTTAAGAGAAATTATCATAAATTCTTATTGTATCTGTGTCCTTGTTCCACACAATCTCATTATGCGTAATCTACTCATTCAATATGTCACCTTATTAACAGTACTGCAGATAACACTATTCCATTCTAAATGAGAATTATATGTATTAGTAGTGTTTTAATTAAAGATTTTGAACTTTAATTAAATTTCATTACAAGCATTGTTTTGACTATTATCCTCTCGCATGTAACACTTATATATAATATTTAAGGTCACATAAATAATCATGAAATTTTCACTGATATTTATAAAATATTTATTAATATATACACATAAAATAATGAATAAACTCTTTTATTAAATAAATATCATATTACATCTCATGCTTCTAGGACACCGTTTCTAACATACTCTTGATTAATTTCTTTTTCTAATTAAATAACTATATTAATCAAAAGGGTATTAATCAAGAGTAAGAGATAAAAATTCAGACCCATGAAATTTACAGGAAAGTACAACAATTTTCTCCTTATTCTTTTTCTTAAAACGGGGTAGAAGATCGGTTGAGAAGAAATTACAATTCACAATTAAAATTTGCAATGATAATAAACTTCCGTTTAAATAGTGGAGAAACACTTGCATATTGTAACACCCTGAAGAATTAATTGAGATTAATTAAGGTAATTGAGATTATTAGTGTGCCTAATCTGAATTATTAATTGAGTTTAATTAATAAATGTTTCTGACACGTGTGGGTTTAAATAGTTCTAAGATATTTAAATTATTCTCAGTAATTTATTTTAAACCAGAAGTGTATATGGGCGCATTTCTGGATTGTTTTTTTTTTAAATATTGACACTTGTCCATTTTCTTTTTCTTTTCTTTTCTTTCCTTTTCTTTTCCTTCCTTCCTTCCCGTGCACTTTCTCTCTCTCTTTCACTCTCACTCTCTCTCTCTTCACTCCCGTGCTCTCTCTCACGCTCTCTCTCTCATTTTTGTCCCAAATCAAACGGATCTTGAACCAAGGAAAAATTTAAAGAAGTTTTTAACGTCAAGAGAAGGATTCGAGGTAAGATTACTGAAAGAACCTCTCTTGAATCTTAAGTTTTTGAATTTCAAAACTTACTTTTGGTTCAAACCGGATTTTGATGGTTTTTGAGTAAAATTAGAGTAGAAATTGGAGATCTTGGGTTCTTTGGACTTGTTTTAGGACCTAGAACCCAGATCTAGTGGTTTTCCTTTGAAATATCTCTATTTGGGACTGGATTTGCAGTTTTTGGCCTGATTTTCGCGAGCTTCTCTCGCGCAGTTGATTCCACCGGTCGACCTGTGCGGTAGATCGGATCATATGGAAACTGATCGACCTATCCGGTCGACCGGATTGTAGGCTGACCGGTCGCCCGGTGTGCACACTGCCGGTTGACCGGTAGTGTTGCACTGCTCTGTCACCGGTCGACCGGTTGACACGGGGTTTGACCCTGATTGGCCTGAAAATGATGTTTTGACCCCTGTTTTCGAGGAGAACCCAAATTAGCTTCATTTGGGGACTTGAGAAAGATGGATTAGCATTGTTAATCCTTGATTTGAGATTGAAAACCCTTGGAATGATATTTTGAAACATGAAAATGGATTAGGGCACACTAATAGGAAATCTTGGTTGGAAATTGAGATTTGGATTGCTTTAGGAATGAGAATTAATCCTAAAGTGTTGTCTTGCATCAGTAATCGCTGAGGATTTAGACTGAAGGGGCTTAAGGAAGCGGAAGCCGGAAAGGGCAACGCTAGTCCCAGGTTTGATAGCGCGAGGTAGGATTTCTATCCCTTTTCTTTGTGAGCCTGTTTTCAAAAAGGATTTTGGTATGAGAATTAATCCTAAAGTGTTGTCTTGCATCAGTAATCGCTGAGGATTTAGACTGAAGGGGCTTAAGGAAGCGGAAGCCGGAAAGGGCAACGCTAGTCCCAGGTTTGATAGCGCGAGGTAGGATTTCTATCCCTTTTCTTTGTGAGCCTGTTTTCAAAAAGGATTTTGGTATTAAAAATGTTTTAAAGAAAGGGATTGATTTGTGAAAGAAAACGCTTTGAAAACCATAGCTTGTTTAGTCATGGAACCTCATGGCTTGTCCAGTCATGGGGCCCGTGGCTTGAGTAGTTCGTGGGGTCGTATTAACGATTTCAAAATGTTAATGAATGATTTCTTAAGCAAAGAGATCTTGTGAACTGGTAATAGAGTCTATTGCTGTAAGCCTAGATAGGATGCGGAGAGTGCATCCTCGGGGGCAGAACCTGAAACTCGGTCCGGGTAGGTGAGGCACTTGGTTAGGTAAGTAATTTATACTAATTACTTGCTGAAGCCTGTAATATGGAGATTTTACATTTATTTCCTTTGAGAAAAAGGATGTGAGGTTC